ACGTGCATAGTATGTGATCGTGAAAAGTGTGCATATGTATGGCATTAGAGGGAGAAGGGCCTTAGGATGAGAAGAGAACTAATGAAAGCTGGAAAGGTGAGCCGGGGCAAAATCAGGGAGGACCTGTATGCCATGCTAAGGAATTTTTACTACGTCTTGTGGACCAGTGGTTTTTCAAACAACTGTAGCGATCCCCTGGTTCCCTTGAAACATTACTCAGAAGCATAAGTAAATAAGTAAAGATAAAAGCAAAATGTCTTTGACTGAAGCAGAGATGTGTGAAGTAGGGTCCTAAAATCTTCTCTCACTCTTTGTCTGTGTCTCTGTATCTCTCTCTCTCTCTCTTTGTTTCTCTGTTTTTCTATTTCTCTCTCTCTCTCTCTCTCTCTCTCTCTGTCTCTCTCTCTGTCTCTCTCTCTCTCCTCTTACCTGCCCCTTTTGTCTCTAAAGTGCTGTGAAGGCAAATTCTGGGAAGCACAGTTTGAAAATTTCACCTGTGGGCCATAGGAGGCCAGTAAAATTTTTTAAGCGAAAAAGTGAAAAGTATGATAGGACCCATGAGAAGATGAGATAAGATAAGATTATTAAGGGGGATTGAATGAAGAGCAAAAATGGTTGAGTAAGGAAAACCAATTAGGAAGCCATTTTAACTGTCTGGGAGATGTCTGATTTTAAGCAGAGATAACAAGGGAAGAGAGAAGTGAATGAGTATGAAAGACATCTCTAAAGTCGCCTTAATAGAACCTAGTGGACAGATTACAATCAGGCTGTGGGAAGGTTGCTCCATGAGGAAGAAGCAGAACTCAAGAATGATTCTGTGGTTGCTTACTTACATTGAAAGCGTTTCTCATTTCTCTAAATGGGAAATCTCTGATTCAATTTCTAATAGGTCATTTTCTTTAAATTTTCACTAATGCAGATTAAACCAACATGTGATCATTTATACCTAGATTTAGTTTCCTCAATCTTTCTTCATTTAAGACTTGACTTTGCCAGTAAAGCCCTTCTTGCTGTCCTTGTTATGTTGTCTACAACTGTATTTGTGTCTCATTAATGAGACAGTATGTAGTCATTTTCTTTTTTACTAAAAGAGTCCAAGCCTACGCACAGGATGTGTTCCAAAAGTTCGTTTTTAAATTACTTATTTGGAACTCAGACTGCATTTTCCCATAAAAGCAGCATTATACGTAATGATTATGTTCCCAGGCCAGTCCAAAAAGGCCAGTTTAGCCCGTAACATAACTGAAAGTGTGGATTTTTGTCAGGGAAATTCTTTGGAAATAATACTGTTATAATTAAAACAAAAACAATAGTTGAAAAAGAAATAGTCTGGGTTGTTGTTTCCCTCAAAGGATAGCGCTTGATGAAAAGCAGGTTTAATCCTAAGAAGCCAAAACAAAATAGATGAGGACTTTTGTGCAAATTGGACTCTATGGCTTTTTACATTTTTTTACAGTCATGTTTTAGAGGGTTTTTAAAAAAGAAAGCTGTCATGTTCAGTGTAGAAAATTTGAAAAATACACTTAAAAAGTTAAGTCACCAATAATCCTACCACTGAGACAGAACAACTGCTAAAATGTTGCTGTGTTTCAACCATTTTTCTTAGTAATTTTTTTTGTTTGCAGTACTAGTGATGGAGCCCAGGGCCTTCACACTGAACTACATCCCCAGCCCTTTTCATTTTTTTATTAAAAATCAAAATATTTTTTGATATAGTGTTGAGAAAAAGGCAACTTGCATTTGATACCCATGTTGGGGGTGAGGGAATGTCACATGGATAATAATCAACTAGGGTCAGAATCAGCTGTTAAACTACCAGTCTGTAATTTCTATCCTCAGTCCCAGCTCCAACAAAAACCTCAGTCAGACTTTCTGCCAAAGTTCTAAAGAGGACATGTGTTCCTTGACGTGCTATAAAAGTTTGTAGCACTAGCCCCTTATTACTTCTGATTTTCCTTCAAATTACAGGTGTTTCCTTTCCCTTGATGCACTATATCATAAGCAGTACGTAGGCTCAACAACTGTTACTAGGGTCATTTTTATTCATAAATAGAATGAAAAGAGGAACATAAATTTCCTAAGGTGATCAGCATGGATTGAAGAGAGATGAAAAAAACTCTGGCATCAAAATGTGTACATGCTTGTAAGGAAGATTGCATGGAGTAAAATGTACTAAGAATAGTTTTAATAAACTTTTATCAGGATATTTGCAATACATAACAAATGCATTTATCTTGGAGAACTGCTCCATATACATATCACAGTCTGGTCCTTTTTACTTCTCTCCCATCTTCCTGCTTATCCCCAGATCTCCTTCCCATCTCCACAAAATCTATCGCCTTGTTTCCTATCTTCTAACTTTTATTTTTGCTCCTTTTTATACTTTGGATGTTTAAGAAGTGAAAAAAGTAAATAGCATCCCATGCATGTAGACCATTAGAGCATAGAAAAGACCTAGGGAAAATGGAGCAAAGAGATGTATTTGTTAAGAACTGGGCTAGGCTACAGAGCAGGAAAAGGCAAACAAAAGACATTGAATTTGGGCAAGGTGTAGCCAGCTAAAGTAAGAGTTTCAGGAGGCAAGAAATGTAATATCAAGTGACTGGTTTTCTTTTACTAAGGGAACAAAAATGCTTTGTCAGGACAGGTGCTTCAAGCCCTACTCCAAGCACTAAAATACGTTTTCCGAACTTAACTTAATATTTCTGCTGCAGTGTGTGCCATTTGATTTCAGCCCATTCAGTGATTTTCTAAAAGTAAATTATGCATCCCCCTTCCATCCCATTATCTCCTTTTACTCAAGACCTGGTTTTTTGACATGCAAGTCCTAAGAACTGCCACCTGCAGTTCCTGTTCATCCAGGAAAGAATTCAACATTACAAAGGACTGAGAGGTGGAAGAAAAGATGTGTGGAGACAATTGGATGTAGGTGTGGGTTTTTAATGTACTGAGAAGAGTAACCTAAAAGTTTGTCTGCACTCTGTAGAAGCATATGGCATTGTAACCCTCACGCATCATTATGGAAGAGAATCTCCTTATATAAAATGTTGTGGGTCTTACATTTGCTGTATTTAGGATAGCAGAAAATTTGAGTTATTAGGTCTAAGCTGAGCTGCAGGTTCTCAGCCAGTAATTCTCAATGCTGGCTGCAAATTTTAATCACCCAGAAAGCTTAAAAATACTGATGCCCAGGTTCTCCTCTGAGACTTTTTTTTTTTTTACATAATTAGTCTGGGAGTGAAAACTGAGCATAGAGAATTTTAAAACTCTCCTCAGGTGATTCTAATGTGCAGACAAGTCTGGAAACCTCTAGGTTAGCCCATTACTTAAGTACCTCTTTGGAATAAGCCAGTTGTTCTTAAAATGTGCTTCCTGAGCCAGCAGCAGCAGCATCAACGGGGCACTTGTTAGAATGCAAATTCTTGGGCTCCTCCCCAGACTTTCTGATTAATTAAATCTGGAGGTGACCCAGGAACCTGTCTTTAACAAGCCCTCTTCATGATTCTGATGGATGCTATAGGTTGGCTAGTCACTAGATTAAACAGTCCTTCCTGACCCTTTGTAAAGTGCCTCTGTGAATGTTCCTGGAAAGGAGAAGAGCTCTCTTCTCTAGTTTATATGATCTGGCCTGGAAAAGGACCTTAATAAAAATACCTGTAATAATAATTAGGAACCATGCAGAAGAGAGAAATGGGATAATTTGCTGCAGAGCCCAAAGAAGCACAGGAGGGAGCATGCCTTCCTAAGAGTTAGGGGTTAGCGGATCACATGAACAGGCATAACCCAGGTGGCAGTACCTGCAGGCAAACTCCTATTTGCTCTTCAAGATCTTGTTCAAAGGCCAATCTACTATTTGAAAATTCTTCTGAGCTCTGGTGTAAATTGCTTCCTTCTTGTGTTTATTCAGCACTTTTTATGTTCTGGTATTAGTTCTAATTTTGTTATACTGTGACAATGTTTATGTCTCTTTCCCTGACTAAATTGTATGCTCTTTGAAAACAAGGTAACTTTCTCTTTAATCTTTGGATCTCCAGTGTCTAATACAAATCTGGCACATACTCATTTCTCCAGAATTATTTGCTTAGGGGAGGCATCAGTAATAGCCAGATTTTTTTCTCCTATGTAGCTTCAGAAAGTGGGCTTACCTTTGTGAATTAGCAAGGATCCTGGGTTCAGCTCTCTTTCTCGAAGGCCAGGGACCTGGAGTTTGTCAGCACGCCAGGAACTGATGCTTCACAGTGGTGACCTTACACAACAAAGACCTCAAACATGTATAATAGTCATTAGCAACTTATGTTTTTCCTGTAAGATACATCATTGTCATGACCCAGACTACTAGCATAAAATTTTCTCATATTGCCTCTTATTATTGGCAAAACCATGGGAAATTAAGTGAATTAATAGAACTATACTTGCCACAAAAGTATAGGAGTGCTTGAGCCACACAGGGAGCTTCTCATCCAGCCAGTGCCATCTTTTTCTCTCATTTCTCTAATTTTCTAATCTACTGTTTCCATCCCACATTCCACACATCTACTCACAAATTTTCCTCCAATAAGATAGGCAGTTAGTGAGTTACAGAAACTTGCCCCTTCCTTTCCCTGAGATGATACTCAGATCAGCGAAATTGGATGTTTCTGTGCTTCCCAGCTTTTTGGACTCATAGACTTATAGGCAATCCTTTGGTTTCATTTCCTAAGTGCTTAATCACACATTCCTTATATAGGAATTTTTACTGGCTTATATCTCAGAAGACAACCCTATAACCTTATCTCCAAGTATTTGGGAGGTAGAACACTTCAGTGTGACCTCAACAATTGCCAGGATTAACATGCTAAGTGTTACCCAAACTATGGAATATATATCAGTGACATTCTTTAAAATGAAATTTTTTAAACCCAGAGTGCAAAACAGAAGAAAACTGATGTGTGCCTTCTGTGCCAGCTTATGATCCTAATATGTATGTGCTGAATGGATTTTTCAAATGTTTTTTTCTGTAGGCATTATATCTGATAGCCACTAATGGAACCCCAGAGCTCCAGAATCCTGAGAGACTGTCAGCTGTATTCCGTGACTTTTTAAATCGCTGTCTTGAAATGGATGTGGATAGGCGAGGATCTGCCAAGGAGCTTTTACAGGTGAAAATAAAATGGGACAATTACAAAGACAGAGTTATTATATTGAGCTTTTCCACCTCAGTGTATGAGAGTAAAGAGTTCTATCAGGATATTTGTAGTTAGAGTTAGGTTATTACCATTTGATTTTAGACAACAGGCACATAAATATAGGCATGGATCTAATACATGAGTGATTGACATTTTGCCTTTCTTCTGAGAAGTTGGCAGCTTAATCTGTAAATCTCTTTTGTTCTTCCTGGAGTCTTATTTTGCAAGGAAAAAAAGCAGTGTGACCCCCTGGTGTTGCTGATTTGTTCTAAACTTTACTTGTGCCCCTGGATGTTGTATGCAGGTGCTCTTGGCCGGAGGTAATTCTCTACATAACTATGCAATTATTTCCATGGCATTTGCTACTCTAATGCTTTACTGGTCAAAGCCCCTTTGCTTGTGATGCCAATTGGCAGGCATCTGCTTGCCTGGGTGAGTACCATCCAGTGGTGAGTGCCTCTGTAACGATTTGTCCTTTTCATGGCTCTCAGGGATTAGTATATACGGTAATAATTACTACCTAGTAGCTACCAATTTTTTTACAAACAGTATAGCATCTAATTTAATTTTTACCAGAACACTCTATATGGTGGGTGCTGTTGTGTACTTTACAGATGTGGAAATTGAGGCTCACACAGCTCTTGTGTGACACAGCTTGGATTGGAGCCTTGGACTGTCTGACTTTCCACTCTACATCCCATACGAATCAGTACAGATAAAAGCATGTATTTAAAAAAAAAAAATAGCACATGCCCAGGTTTATCCACGCAGCTTCATTGCTGGCGATTGTTCCTTGTGAGCATATGTCAAGACTTTCAACATCTCAGAGAACAATAACTGCTGTTGTCTGTGTGAATCTGAACACATAAGCTGATTTAACAAAAGGTGCAACACATGGCTGTGAAGAATATTAAACACAGATTCGCTGTATTCTGCACCTCCACTGCCACCATCAAAAAAATCTGCTCCTGTTGCCTCTAGACTCCCTGCAGTGACAAAGCCACAACCATGCCAAATTTATCTCAGCTTAAACCATACCTGGAATCAATCTCCTGATAGGAGCTGAAGACTCTGCACCTTCTCTGCACTGCTGCCTGTCAGCATTCCACAGGTTGTTGTAGGTGACTATAAATGACACTTGGTTAATTCTCTACTGAATCCAGCTTCCAATTACAGATAAAACCTAAGCTTTCGAGCAATTCACTTCCAAGTCTTTTCACCCTTCCCATCATATGCATCCTGATACACATTTCTGTTATGCTTTTATCCAAAGGTTTGTGAACATACAGGTTCTTTTAATGCAGCTACGCAACTAAATAATTCATTGCATCCATTACTTACTGAATTCTCTCCTGAAAAGTATTTTTATTTTAACCAGTTAGATAAGTAATGCAAAACTATATTTTGAATGTAAATTGAAGTTTATCTTTTCATTTTATACATGTCAGCAATCACCTGCCTATCTCAAGTCTGTGTCTCTCACTTCTCTAACTCTAGCCTATTCTTACCCATTTTAGAGGTCACAAAGGAAAGAGATGCATCACCATCATGCCCCGAAAAGCTTGAGAAAAGACACAAGTCTTGAGTATCTGTGTGCCTTTCTTTATACCCTAAGTAGTTCACAGTCCATCAGTAGATATTTATTGAGCAACTTCAGGTTGCAGAGATAAGTGCAGTGAGTTAAACAAGTCTGTAAATGGTATAATTCCCACTTTCAAGATGTTCAGTCTCCTTGGGTATATGTGAAAAGATAATGAAAGGCTGTTCAGAGGCTCATACAAACCAAGTGGCTGTTCAAATAGTAAATGTCATAGTTGTTTAAAGAAATATGTCTGGCTATAGGCTGGGTTCATCAGAACATGTCGACAAATAGCAGAGTTCTGCTGGGCCTTGAAAGACAGATCAGTTTTAGATAGTTTAAGTAAAGACAGGAATGGGCTTCTGATAAAAAGTCATAGCACAGTCAAAAGTGTGTATGCAGAGTTGAAGGGAAAACAACAATGAATGGCCAAAGCAAAGGGTGATAAGATCTGAAGAAGAGGGCCTTGAATACCAGGCTAAAGAGCTATGACTGTAAACAGCTGGGGTGCCCTGAAGATATCCGAGGAGCAAGCATGATAAAAAGAAAACTTGGTTTAGGGAAATTAATCTGGTAGCATGCAATCAGAATTAGGAACAGAAAAATAAAGTACAGGCGGGGGTCGTTACTATACTTTAAAATTAACTTAAGCAGGCCTGGCCTATGAAAAGCAAGAGACAAACGTAAGAGACACTGAGAAGTTTCTTGGTAGCTGTTTACACGTAGGCCATAAGGAGAGGAAGAAAAAAGTGACTTCAGGGTCTTAAACCAATAGCTGCATTCAGTAAAAGACATGGCATAGGACAATGTGATGGTTCACATTCCTCGGCCCCTATGTAGCTTACAAGCGACTGTCACTTACTTCACTTAACCATCATAGTAAGTACAGAGGAGGACTGAACCTAAATGCTCTTACTGCAGAGCCCTTGTAGTTGGCATAATACAAGATTATCCTGTGAGAGACTTTAACAACTTTTTAAATGTTGACCTTAAGGTGACAGAAAAACATTACAGAGGAAATATCCAGCGGAGAATTGGAGAACAAGAACTAGAGCTGAAGAGATCAACTCATATACTATAAACGTGGGAGTCATTCCCATAAAGTTGATAATAGGTTGAAACATGAAAGGAAATAAAATCTGAAGTAATTTGGAGCCAAGTGTGGTGGTGCATGCCTGTAATCCCAGCTTCTTGGAAGGCTGAGGCAGTAAGATGCAAGTTCATGAAGAGCCTGGGCAATTTAGCAAGACCCCCATCTCAAAATAAAATATAAAAAGGGCTGGGGATGTGACTCAGTGGTAGAGAACTTGTTTGGCACATATGAGATCCTAGGTTCTATCCCCAATATGCTAAAAAAAAGAAATGAAAGAAGAAGAAGAAGGAGGAGAAGAAGAAAAAGAGAGAGAGAGAGAAAGAGAGAGAGAGAAAGACAGGAGAGACTGGAGAAAAAAGATATGTGTAACATTCTAGTACGCAGGAGGCAGGAGGAGAGAGTCAACCCAGAAAAAAAGATGGCGAGGAAGTATTGCAATCAGTGTGCATGCGCAGTGTGATAGGGAGGGGCCAAGACAGTGGAGTGTCACAAGCCCCAGAAGGAAAACGTTCAAAGAAAGAAAAGATATTCACTTGCATTAAGTACTGCAGAAGAACACGAAGAAAAATGGTAGAGAACATAGCTACTGGGTTTAGCAGTTCGGAAGCGACTGGTTTCAGAGTAAACTTTTTTAATGATCAACTGAAGATGCTTTTTCAAAAATGAAGACTGCCCTTCATTTTTGTAATTTGTAAATTCATCTTTTAAAAAAATCAGAAACTCAGAACAGTACAACATAGTGGGATTTTACAAGTTCCCTGCCCGGAGTTTCCAGTTATTCCAGCCTGAATCTAGAGGATTTCCTGACACTGAGAGACAAAAGTATTTAAAGGACCCAAAGCTGGTGCTACTTTTAAGTTGAATGATGTCTAACTGGTGCTCACAGTACTTCCTAATGAAAAAAAAAGGCAGCTTGAAAATGTAAAGTAATATACGTGTTGGAGGAAAGAATTCCAGTAATGCCTCTCTTTTTTCTTCCTTTTGCAGCATCCATTTTTAAAATTAGCCAAGCCTCTCTCCAGCCTGACTCCTCTGATTATCGCTGCAAAGGAAGCGATTAAGAACAGCAGCCGCTAGGACTGCACGCCTTACCCCTCACCATCTCCCTCATGAGTAAGATTGAACTAAAACTTTGCTTCAGGAAAGATGGAAGAAAAGACAGTCAGATGGGGTGGGGTTCGTTAACTTTCAAATGAATAGAAACTTCGTATAAGCCTTTTTTCCTATTCCCTCAGATTATGTAATTTATTTGTAAGCCTGAATCGCAGCCCAAACAGGGCCGCAATGTCGAAGTGGCCATCAAGTGGTCACTTCCACCGTGAAGCGAAAGAGCCAGTAGTGAATCCCCTCATTTTGTGCATTCACTTTGAAGAAAAAGATTTCTCAAAGATGCACTCTCCCTCTTCATAGTGTTGTGTTTGTTTTTAAGTTAGAGAGTAGTCCCTCATTCAAACCTCCTTCAAAACCCCTTCCCCAATGTGATGTTTTTCACTTGCATTGTCATTAGATGTCCAAAAAAAGATGTCAAAATGTTTTTTTAAAAAAAGAAAGCAAAAACACAAAACAAACAAAAAAAAAAAAAACAAAGCAAAAAACCAACAAACAAAAAAATAGAGCAAGTACTGTGTGAACATGTGGAACTCCATGCCCTAATAGAGTTGCAATTTTTTATTCTTCTTCTATAGTGGTGGCTTGGTTTGTGTACCTATTTTTCTGCATTTGTATTGGAAAAGGTTTCTTTTAAAACATTTTCCGAAAGCAGAAGGGACTATGTGTGTTCAGGAAGGGCTTTAGCAAATTCTCTATCTAAATAAAGCTCAAATGGTGAAATCCTATCACATTTTCACAGGGATGCGTAAGAGGTAGTTGATCTGCCTCACGTAAACCAGCTTGTTAATTTTCATGATACTGGGAAAACGACACACTAAAAAGGTCATCCCTTTTGGGTGAGCCCAGGTCCTGAACCTGGGAAATCCTAATAGGAGAAACGATTATTTAAACAAAGATGGGACTTTCTCTGAAAGCCAAAAGGAAAATAAGACACATGTGTGATACTGAAATCTTTGTTGGACATTACAGTAAACAAAGGTAAACACACCTAATTTAAGACTCTCTTGTGCTTGTGGATCATATGCACTGTAAAACAGGCATAGCAGGAGGAAATATATCCATTAACCGACATTTCTTTATGATAAAATGGTTTAATTTGACAATTTATAACATTTTGGAATTTTTTTGAAAATAAAAAAGAAATATAATAAGCTTTCAACTCTGGAAGAAATGATATACAATGAAAGATATGTCCCGGTCAACATTTACTTCTAAATATTTCTTCCCGTTTTTTCTGTTTGCCATCAATTTCTGTTTCAGGATCTAATGTGCTCATATTTAGCTCGCTGGGCTTTTGAATTTAAAAGCCTATTTAATAGTGATCTTAAATTCCTTAGTGAAAATAATTTTGGCTTACAATCATATATTCCACAAAATATCAGTCCAACTGAATTCCTTTTGTAGCTTGGGGAAAATACCAAAATTTGACTGTTATTTCACCATATATCTATTTCTTAAAAATCCAACAATTACTACTTCCTGAATCTTCTGAGAGTAGAAAAAATACCTGGAAGGTGTATGTGTAGAAAAGGATATGCTTCTTTTACTGTCAATTTTATAAATTTTGGAAAGTTGTTTCTCTAAGCCTTTGAAAAGCTAACAGTCTATGCTGTAGAAGATTTTTTAATTTGTAGTATATAAGAAATTTGAATCTTCATTCAGCAAGAAGGAAAAAGAGATCAATGACATAGGGCTCTCTCCTTCTTTGCAAAGTCCATCCATCCATCCATCCATCCATCCATCCATCCATCCATCCATCCACCCATCCATCCATCCTTTCTTTAAAATGAAAGCACTTTCTTTAGAGTTTCTACTAACCGTATGGTGCATGTGTTTATGTTTAGAAAACACCACTGATGAATTTCCTATTTTCCTATTGTTTTATTTGACTATAAAATTTAGGAGGGTCTTGACCCTCACTCTTCCCTTCAAAAAGAAAATTGTCCACAGTAGGATAAAACAAGAAATATGAAAAGAAAATCAAATGGTAATATTAACTTGATGCATACTATGGTACACTTTCAAAGAGGTATCTGGGTCTAAAATTTTTAATCCTACACTGCTCTAATGAGATAGGCAGGCCATAATTTTGATTTCATTGACAGTCAGGTGTATTTTTCACTCAGAATGCCAGGTAATGCAATGAAATACCTGGGATGCAAATAAAATCCAGTACATTGGTGATAATAGTCTCGCCAATGTAGAGCTGAAAACCTGGTTGGGAAGCAACTTGTCATCAGTTAGCATCCCTTATATGTTGTGAAGGCAATTTTGTTTTGTTTTGTTTTGTCTCGTTTTGTTATTTTGGAGACCCTGGAGCGGTGATCCTTCAGATCACTGTAGGCAGAGAAATGGCTGCTCTTTATGCTTTTAGTTCAGCATATTGACAGTGCAGAGCCAGGTACTACTTTAGCACCACCTTGTACCAAGTCTTGATGGTGACATGTCCTAGTAGGCTTTATTCTTACAAATTTATTTAGATCTATGTAAATTTTCACATGAGAACAGTTCCTAAAACCCCTTCCCCGTGTTAAAGAGTTATGTATATTTCTAATAAGTGTTAAAGAGAAGCTGCTTCTCGTGCCAAAAATGATGCTGAAGGATTCACATTTGGTACACTTGATTCAACTTGGACTCCAGATGGTTAATAGTTCTTTCCTTTCCTTCAATTTTTTTAGCTCATCTTAACACAGGTGAGTCTATCCAGATCTTTAATGTTGCTGGTGTGCCCTAAGATAAGGAGGGCATGTCATCGAATGTTGACTCCAAAATGTCCTGAGATAGGAGTAGGGCAATGTGAAAGTCAGGGAAGGGTGTGAAGCACAGTAGAGAGTATTTATTTAAGAAAGAAAAGAACATTGATGTGTAGCAAGGATCCGGTGCATTGCCATAATCCCATGAGGATTTTGGGATGACACAGTCCCTTCGAATCAGTCACCATGTTGGGTAATGACTTCGTTCTTGCTGATATTGTCTATGTGTCATTGTAAATATTTGTGTGTCCACGTTCCGTTTTGGCTACTGGATGGCCATGTCACATGAAAAGATTTAATTCAAGTATTTATTCTTTAATTTTGTTATTAGGATTTCTTTCAGGCTTGTGAATTGCACACCAATGTTTGAGTTTAACCACCTGATCCTCACATCTATCCCTCCCTTGTGAAGCACATTCCATTGCTAAAAGAAAAAGAAATACAAAATTGCTTCCTGTTGTCTGTATAACTGTTTTGATAGTTTGAGATGTTTGTCTATAAAGGATATTTCTCAGCTCAAAGATCATGTAAATAATTATATTTCTTTGCTCAGTGGGTTATTTCTAATGAGGCTGTGAGTTCTCAGAGATTCTATGAAATCAGTTTTAAATAGCATAAACAAAGATTGCAACTATATAAAAATAAGTGTGCATATGGGCAAAGACTAGAAACACAGATAATGGAAATCAGTTTTGTTAGGGCAGCAGGATTACGTGATTTTTATATTCCTTTTGAAATTTTCTTTGATGTTTTTCTAATATTACTTTATAATGAATAAACATCAGAAAGGGAATTCTAGAAACATGGGAAAGACTCAAGAAAGACATGCCTTCTGGCCAGAGTCTAGAGCATGCAAGGCACAGATATTTGCTAGTTATAGTTATTCCATGGGCTTTATATTAGCCTGTGATTGGCACACGCTCAGGTATGGCACGTGCTTTCTTAGGAGACTATTATATGTATCAAAGCTAGTGAGATGTCACTACTGTAACTCTAAATGCATTCTTCTGCTTTAAAACAGACTGCCCTCTGCTTCAGTATAACGCCTGGATGTCTATTTTGGTTACTTTAGATAGAAGGGTTAACCATTTGGTTAGCCACGTTGATTAACATTTATTTCAAGTACCACCTTTCTGAGTCATTTTACCAGATCTTCAAGTTGAACTTTGGAGAAATAAAATGATAAGGTCCCTAGTTCCCACCATTTCCTCGCCCAACAAGTTATTATATCATTCAGGTAGAATTTTTCTTTTAATTACCAAGAAACAAGTCCCACTCATGTCAAGAGAAATTATGACTTGCAATTAAAGCTGACTCTGAAATCATTCAGACAGATATTTAGGACTGTCTCAGGTGGCATTCAGTTACAGTCCTATTAGTTCTGGCTTAAGATAGTCTCCATGAGCTTTTGTACTGCTTAATTATAGGCTGTATGCAGTAATTGTGATTTTAAGAGGAAAGGAGACCGTCTACTAAAAGAGAAGAATATCCTTCTAACTAGCCAAAGAAATTTTAGGCTAGGACTTTGATCATATGTTACTTATCACCGATGCCTAGAAAAACTCACAAGATTTTCATTAGCCATTTTAAGTATAAATGAAGTCTCAATCTTGCCATCTGTAGCTGAACTTCATGGTTCTTTTCTGAGCTACTTGCCATTAACAGTCAATTAAATAAATGTATACCCAGTGGTGCAAGCATCTCCTAGTCCTTGAGCAAAAGACTGAAATTCAACATTTGTAAACTGACAGTCTAATGGGCCTCAGAACTGAATGAACTTAACACGCAGTTCTGAACATATATTTGCATGTGGATTAGGAAGGAAACAAAGGAGACCTTGGAAATAATGAGATTGTTTTTCTATGAAAGAGTTTTTCATGAAAGACATACTATAATCTGTCTGTCGACCAGCTTTCACTTTTTCACTCTTTTCTGATCCACATTACTGTAGCAACTAAATGAATCTAACTCAAATTCTCAAGCTTTGGAATGTTTAATGCTGAAGAGTGTCTTTCTGAATCTACAGATGCAGGAATTAGGATGTGACCTCCACGTGCAGATCTCTGCATAAAAGTATACTATATTACTTTCAGCATTTACTGACAATTTGGTTGAACTTGCAAGATAAAGTTATCTGGTCAATGCCATCAGTCTCTTTCGGAAACTGCCATCAGGTGAATTCTATCCCATAATACCAACAGTAAGGCAGACAGCATGCTCAGCTAGTTTAGTACCTAAGAGAAAACTAGTGACAATTCTAGAGAATAAGTCAGATGTGGTGGGAAGCATACTAGCCTAGAAAGAAGACCTGGATTCTACTAAGGGCTTTATGAATAACTTCCTGCATGACCCTGAGCGAGTCCCTTAACTTTTCTATTGCTGTTTCCTCATCTGTAAAATAAAGATATCAGACTAGCTGCTCTCCAAGGTCTTTATAAAGCTCTACATTCTGTGGTATAAATTGCCTTGCAAATTCAATCTGCTAAACTGATGGCAAATATCACATGCTTAAGCCTGAGTCTCATATGGTGTAGTGAAACACTAGAGCTATGTAAGATGGAAAAACTCAAGTAAATGAAGTTAATAATACTAGAGAATGTTGATAAAACTTGTGGCAGCCTTCCAGTTTATTCACAATTGTTTTGATTTATTTCTGTTTTAATGTGGTTTTTTTCTCTGTTGAGTGTTCCCGGTTTTTATTTTCCATATACTCTCTATGTAAACTCTGGTTTTCATTACGCTGTGGTCAGTATTTGCTACTAGAGCAGAAATACACTGTCACATTTGCTAAAATAGAATTGTACTTGGGCCTTTTCTTTCTTGTAAAGCAGTGCTGGGCTTTCTAGATTTAAACTCATAAATGGCACAAAATGACAGATCTCATGCATTTGAATGGCTGAGACTACAAAGTATGGACCTAAGCATTAGCAAGTTGCAGAGAGAAATGAAAGTAAATATATGCTTTTGGCATTAAGAAGTCTTAACAGATATACTTGTTGGGAACCAAAGATCGTATTTTTGACAACTCCCCCAGAGATTAGCCAGGTGTGTGAGTATGCTGCTGGAAAGAGGGTAAACTGGAAGTTAGTGAATGGTCCCAACTGCCTGCCTACAGGAGAGTACCAGCCAACCCTGAGTGTAAAATCCAAGTTCAATGTCTGTGCTTGTGTGTGGTGTGCTTTATGGACCCACATATATTATATTCATTAGTGACAATAAGATCTCTAACAGAATCCAATAACCATTAATGGGTTGAGTTTTAAATATCAGTACATCAGCCAGTAGGAGCCAGATTACAAGGGTATTGATGTCTGCTAGGATTATACTCCTAACACCCAGGTAAAATAAATTAAGGAGGATCTACATTTTCACTGTTTCACAGAATTGTATCTCCTTTGGTTGTGCATTACTTTTGTCAAAATGTGTTATCTGTAAACCCATGTGTAGTGAAATTCTTCTGTAACTTTGGATTAAAGGTATTTATGGTCTTTTTGTTTGTTTGATTTTTAAGTAAGTTATTTCTTTTGTAGACTTGCTGATGGTATGGTTCCATCCTTCTACCTTCAGCATACAATCTTTTTTAAGGAGTTTTGTTTCCAATATCGTTATTTTAAATTGTGGTTGAAGCAATAGAAAATTGAAATATGGATTGTGCATGACTGTGTCTTGAGTGTAAAAATATTGCAGTTTGAAACTTGGACCTAAAGTATTGCAAATAAAAATGACAAATATCAATGAGCTGGTGCTTCTCTCTTCTATCACCTTCCCATCCTCTCCTGTGGTGTTGGCTATTTTACCACTTTGCAGGTCAGAGGGTCGAACTGTCTTTCAGGTGTAAAGGTAAGCAGATGCTCAACCTTGAGAGAAATACAGGAAATGCCCTGCACATTCTACCACTAAATAATAACCCAAACTCAGAGTCTCCATGTGGCTTTTACATGCCTTAGCTCCGAGACAAATATACATGTTCAGTATAGCGCACAAGCCTGGTACATCCCAAAGGCAGATGGAGGAAATCCCCCAAAGAAAGCAGAGGCAATAAGTAATTTGACTTTGATTATCTTTTTACTTGGAAGATTCTGAACACACAAAGTGATCTGGATTATGCTGTTTTGTCTAATACCTGGTATGAAGATCTTCAGGACACAGAAGAGATTTGAAAGCCAGATTCCTGAGAACTTTCATTCACTCGCTCATTTATTCTTTTAAAAAGTATTTCTTGACCTTCTCTTATGTGACAGGCACTGTGCACATTTCTACTAAAGATAAATTTTCTATTAAAAATCACCTTTACACAAGCACCTGCCTGGCAAGTGCAAGGTCCTGAGTTTCCTTCCCAGGACCAAAAAAAAAAAAAAAAAAAAAAAAAAAAAAAGAAAGAAAAAGAAAATCACCTCTAAATGTGACTAAATGACCCCAAAGCTCATTGAAACCTTCCAGGTGCACCTGTTAGAGTCAGATTTGTCACTCAAAAATACCAGATTTAACAAGCTGGAGGGTTATTCCACCAACATTACTTGTACAGAAGCCATAGTGCTCCTTCTGGAGCACATGTATAAAATTTTGTACCTTTGTGTACTTGGATACACATTGATACTGTACTCCAAATGTATATTTCACCAAATAAATGTTAATTTTCTTATTTTCTTGTTCAGTGTACTTACATGCAAGCTTTAGTTTTTTATTGTATTTCTCTATGTTGAAAGTAAGAGAAACACTGTACATAAAACCCTGCAAGTGAATAAGAATCCCAGCAACTAGCTTATTAACCACAATTTCTGATGGGCATGTGCATAAAGTGCTTTACTGCCTCTCCCCCTGTTAGCTTCACATCCTTTCTTGGCAGGGTTTCCTCATTTTTTACCCCAATTAAATGGAGGAGAAATACTTTTTATGTTTTAGCAAATTATCAATATGTTCCTTCAGAAAAGAAAAATTTAAAGGGCATTTCCTATTAGCACAATGGCTTGAAGGATTGAGGTCCAAGCAATGATAGATGGATTATTCCACAAGTCAGCTCTACTAGCTTGATTTTTGGAACTTTAACCTTGTCTCCTACTGCAATGGGAGGGGCTGACACCTGGAGTGCCCTGCACATTATGATTGTTCTGCATCTTCTCAGGGGCCTTAGCCTCACACACACACACACACACACACACACACACACACACACCCCTACCTGTTGCCACCTGTTGGCATCTGATGTCTTCCCATACTGCTATATTAAGCACACTGCTACCATTACCTTCAGCTAAACCCATAGCAGGGTCTCTGTCCAATTACTGTACTCCTGTTTGTCACTATCCCTATCCACAAAATCATACCGCTTGCTGGTGCCAGTAGAGCTCTGCATGGGGTACTGGAGTAACTTGTTCACTTGCAGTTTCATAGCAGGTTACTTTTCCTTACCTGACAGCAGAAACCCTTACTATGGAATCAAACCATTTAGGTACAGCTTTGGAACCATTTTGGTGCTTCTTCTTCAGTTCTTCGCAATCATTGGAACAGGGGAAAGTTTCAGCTGCATTTTCCCCCTCTCCCCACCTGGGGTTTGTCTGGTCAATGCTCTCTAGCCCTTTTCAGATCCCCCATTTCCCATAGAGGTTAATTTACAGCTTTTGCTGTACTATCACTGTACACAATCTCCACATCCTTCCAGGCAGCCGACTTTGGAATAAAAGAGGAAAAATGGCAGTTTGGCCCCGTTATTCATGGGCTTTCACATATTACCTGGAGTACCTCTGGTCCTACATCTTAGAGAGATATATTTCCACAAAGTAAGAAGCAATCTTTCCATTGAGGAGAAAGAGGGGAAATGGAAATGAATCATCTCTTGTAACTACATGTAGACCAACACATATCTCAACAAAACTTGCTATAAGAAAAACAATGGAATAGATGTCAGCTCCCGTGTAAGGTTTCAGAGGTCATGCTAACCAGGTAAGACACAAACGATATCATGTCCCAGCCTAGTTCTACCACCAACCTCCCAGTTAACCTTGGTATCAAAACACTCCTCACTAAACTGACTTCACCTGACGCCAGCCCCACTACCTTACATAGCAGGACTTCTAACATTCTCTTGGGGTGATTCTGGAGTCTCATTCAGGAAGCAGAGAATTGAAATATTTGTTATGAGTTCCCCCTTGTAGACATGGATCAACTGGTTCCTTGGCCTATAATGTCACACAAGAGTAAAATTCATAAGAAACAACTTTTAATTTCACAACATATAAAACTGAATTGCTTGGGGCCGGGGATGTAGCTTAGCGGCACAGTGCCCGCGTGGCTAGTATGAGGTCCTGAGTTCAATTTCTGATACACTTCCCCCCAAAAAAATTCAAAATTGAATTACTTTGTAAAGACAAGAGGGCAATTCATGTTCTAGCAATTTTATATTACAGAGCAAGGCTCTTGATAATGTGTCATGAAGCTCCACAGTAAACACAAGTTGCTAGCTCCCCCAGGATTTCCATATTTTCCTTTTTAAACTATCTTGAACAAATATTAGTGAATGGAATTAAAATCCCTTTCACACATAAGTTGATGTAGATGACATAATTCAGACATTTCAATTTATTTAAGTAAGGTGCAGTTACTTCTCTAGTGTTCCAATAGAGAACAGGGATTACCAAGCTACTTCCATAAAATATTAATCCCTGATGTTATTGGTCCGTTACCACCTTCAGCAATGATTTTTGTTTTGATTTTCATTGTACTGTATTTGGTAAGGTGTCTTTCACCTGAAACAAAAGTACATATATCGCAATCTGCTTTCAGGGTATCTCTATCTATCATAAGACTTGACTGTGGAAAAGATAATAATTGTCTACATTACACGACATAGAAACTAAAGCTTTCATGTCATTCTTACTAACATCTACACTATAAGGCACGCAGTGTTGGCTGTACTGGACCAATGCACCCTCCACAACCCTCCCCAACCCAGAGTTCTGCTGATGGGAAGGCGAGGCTCAGTACATAGTTACAGGCTTATTGACCTGCAAAATGCCATGTACCCAATTGAGTTCACCTTACTTCCTCAGACTTTCAGGTTTTCCACCAGGTTTTCCTCTGCTGTCTTGGCATTACACTTGAACAAGCATGCCTCCACACACGCACCATAATGAATCATTTCCGCTTATGTTGTTCCTCATCATTGTGCCTCGCTACAGCTGAGGTGGCATCTGCAGCTACAGAAGCAAAGCAAAGTTTGGTTCCTCAGCCCCTGAAGTATCTGAGAATTAATGAATAGATTCTGCCTGGAGCGCCACTTACTTTACTAGCTAGCATCTAATGGTGGCCTGGTAGCTTTCCTTTAGTTTCTTATTGGCTGGAGTATACGTTGTGACCCACAGGGATAGATTCACCCCACCTTTTCCCTTCCAATGGACAGGGCCGCCATTTTGGACTCACCAGGGAGTCTCTTAATTCCTCAACATTTTGGACTCACCAGGGAGTCTCTTAATTCCTCAACAGTTCCTGTTAACACACTCTAACAGACCAACTGTGTTTATTCTATTTAAGTTTATTGCAAAATGCCAACCTGCATGCTTCTAGTAGTTTTCAATTAGTCTAACATATTATATCAGGTTCCTAACTCTACATCCCCTAGTGCCTCCCCATAAAAAACATCTCTGGACAGTGGGATTTCTCACCAAAAGTAAAATTATGATAGTAAAGTCATCATTCCTACCACAGTTGTCTCAAACATGCTTGATACTGGTCCTCACTGTATCTTTTATTCTTGCCTCTGATTTATAGCTCCTCCTTAGGTAAATATGGAATTAAGAGTTCACATTTTTAGAGCTACATTTCATTTCTAAGCATTGGTTTCCTCTTTTTGAAAAGATAGAAAAATACACCAAGGTTTATAAAATATTAAAAAATTAAACTACCAATGTGTTATTCTGCCACAGAGCAGTGATACAATACTACTATGTATTATTATTATTACTTACTCTTATTATTAACATCAGCATTAGCATTTTAAAAATCTTGGTAGGTTAGAATCCCTTCAATAGTAGTCACTACTCTGAGTGAATTTTGGCCACAGATTGAAAGGCAGAAGAATTTCTTCCACAATACTTTAACCATTATTGGAGATCTTCTGGTCCTGAGTAGGACAAATGCATGTGGACGCTTGTAGGTGAACTTTGAATGATGCAGACAAGGGAAGTATGCACCCCAATTAAAACCATACAGATTTATTGATTTTAAATTATACTTCAATGAAGCTGAAACTTTTTAAAAGAAACTATATGATAGGCTGAGGCAGGAGGACTGCTGTGAGTTTGAGGCCAGCCTGGGCTACAATGTGAGTTCAAGTTCAGCTTGAACTGCATAGTGAGACCCTGTCTCAAAAAGACCAAACAATAAAAAAAGAAAGAACGTATGTGGGGCCAAGGATATGGCTCAGTGGCACAAACACCTGCCTGGCAAGCACAAGGTCCTGAGTTTGATTCCTGGCACCAAAAAAGAAAAACAGTGAAAAAAAGAATGTATATGATGGCACGTATGTATAATTTGACCACCTTCGCTGCAATCATACTGATCCAAGCTATGATACCCTCTTCTTGAATTATTATAATAACCTCTTAACAGGTCTCCTTGCTTCTACATTTGCACACTGAGCTACAGCCTCAACACTGCATTGAACAAAGATCAAAACTCTATAATTCCATATTCCTTTCAAAGGAAAGACAAGGTCCCTGCAATGAAGATGCACAAGGTCTGCC